TGGAAGGATACGGAGGTGTTTCCTGCGTTCCAAAGGTACGGATAGGCGCTTCCGCGACGGGCAGCCGCGCGCGGACAACAGGGACGCGCGTAGGCGACCGCTCTCTCGCGCGCACTCTCTCAAGTCATTCTAATAACTTCAGGATTTCAGGCGCCTTTCCCAAAATAAGCATTAATTTTCAGACCACAAGATAAAATCTAAATGAACCCACTTCTTGTTCTGATTATTCTCCTCTACATCTTGAAGACATCTCTCTCTCTCTCTCTCTGCTTCAGTAACAAAGGAAAGTATCAGGGATGAATGGAAACAGTTATAAAAAGACTTTAGCTTAGAACAAAAGATTGCAATGCTCCAATTTTCAAAAAAGGGAAAAGAGAGGATCAGAGTAACTACACAATGGTGACCTTGACATCAATACCAAAACTCTGGAAGGCATTATTAAAAATTGGTTTGTGTGAGAGCACTTAAAGAATGCATTATCATTTTCTCCAAGATGGTATCAGTGTGATGCAGCTGCAACAAAACCAAATGCAGTTCTCCTCTGCAAAAACAGAATTATAGGATTAAATTCAAGAGAAGTCATCATTCCTCTCTGTCCTGTATTGGTTGGACTTTACTTAGATTATTGCCTCCAGTTTGGGGGATGGTATGTCAGGAAGCCATTGACAACCTAGAGCATGTCCAGAGTTCAGCAACCCCTTACAGCAAATAAGAGGTCTGGCAGGAAAAACAGATAAGGAACGATTGGAAGTGTTGGTTATGTTTAGTCTAGGCCAGTGTTTCTCAACCTTGACAACTTTAAGATGTGTGAACTTCAACTCCCAGCATTCTGGGTTAGGGTTAGGGTTAGAATTCTAGGGAGTGGAAGTCCTCACATCATAAAGTTGCCAAGGTTGAGAAACACTGGTCTAGAAAAAAGAGGATTGTGGGTGGATGAAGGATTGTCAGAAGACAGGATTAGAAATGTTGGTTTTAAATTACAAGGCTGTAGATTTCAGTTGGATATCAAGACAAATTTCCTATGGTAAGAACTGTTACCCATACAGCTGACAGCCTCTGGAGCAGTTGACTCTGGTGCACTAAAGATCTTTAAAAAACGGCTAGGAAGCCATCAGCTGGAGTAGTGTTCCTCAACCTTGTCAACTTTAAGATGTGTGGACTTCAACTCCCAGAATTCTCCAGCCAGCCATGCTGGCTGGGGAATTTTGGGAGTTGGAGTCTACCTGTCTTAAAGTTGACAAGGTTGAGAAACACTGGGTTGGATATGCTATAGTGGATTCCTGCACCAGCCAGAGGATTTATTTTATTTATGTATTTATTAAATTTATATGGCCACCCATCCCACTCAAAGTGACTGGCCGGCGTACAAAAAAGCCAAAATTAAAACATTCAATAAAATCAGTTAAACAAACATAGATAAAAACAAAATAAATAAAGCAAGGTCACCAGAAGGTTGGACTAGATTATCTCCAATTTCCCTTCTAATCCTTCCATTCTATGAATTTAAGAAACTTTTTGCACATCCTCTTATACACCAGGCTTCTCCATCTCGCTGCCTTCCAGACGCTTTGCACGATAACTCTCCCAAATCCCTGCGCCACACATTTGAGGAGAACCAGTCTTGGGGAAAGCTCTTAGCAAAGGACCTTAGCAAACTTCATGTCCTGGTGCAGCTGCGGGGAAGGCGCTAAAGGTAAAAAGGGGGCGAAATTCTAAAATTGTGAGGGGGATCTGGTGTCAGAATAGGGTATTTTCATTAAACGAAGGTAAATCTTTGCAGCTATCTTTTTGAGCTGCGTACCCAAGAATGATATAATTAAAAAAAAAATAGTTCTCCTGCTTCTCTCCGTCCCTTCAGCCAGCGCTCCTTTCCTTCATGGGGGTCTCTCGGAGACTCAGCTGCGGGTCTTGCCTCCCTTCGCTCTCCCCTCCCCACCGCCTGCCGCAGAAAGCGCGGGCCGGAGGAGGA